GGTCATTTAAGATCCAAATAACTCATTTTGGGTGAAATTAAAAAAAACTTTTTCTTACCGATCTTAATAGCCTACCATACCTGTTGGTATGGTCGGCTAAAAATGAACTGTTATAATAACTTTTGAGTTTTATAAAAACGTTAAATACAGAAATAAAGCTTTAAGCTCTGTGATTGCTTTTGAAGTTACGTTTTTATTTCCTAATGATGAAATCATTTTCTGCTCGTGGCCTTACCCAGCATGAAAAATATCGTTTATCCCGTTGTGTGTTCGTTCTTGACTGATGTCCAAAGTTTAGCGGCGGGTGCTTAGATAAGGCTCTAGAATTTTTCAAAATAATACGACCCTGGAGGTTTCTAGCTCCTATGAGCCGCTCTCTCTCTCGTAGTTGAAGTTTTGAAAAAGAAATCGTTAATATCCTAGATCCTAGATAATATAGTTTTCTCTAACTTTACGTTTAGTTATTTAGGTGTAATTAGGTTAAAAATATTGTACTTTTATCAGTTTTGTTTAAGAATTTCTAAATGAAATTTTCTTTTACATTGTAGACAAAGGAATTTTTACTCTAAATAATATATTTTTACGGGATTACTTCAAAACTTCTAGCCTGTATATTTATTTTTTAATGATTATTGAAATTATCGGTACTTGAAGACGATTTACCGATACGGTAATATATTACCACGTTCTTAGAACATTTTAACCGGTACACCGATAAATCGGTAACAATTTAAATTTTAAATATTTTCAAACATTCAGTGATTTTTCAAATAACGAATGTCCAATATTCAAATAACAGTGCTATTTTCAAACAACATTCATATTCAATTTAAAAATGAGGGTCCTCATCCATCTTTTTTATCATGACGTTCAAATTTATTCCGTAATATTCACTAACATTTAGGGAGATATTTTTTCTGTTTTATCGTGTTAAAAATTTATTCTATTGACATTTTCGGAGAAAAATTCCATCAACCGTTTTATTCAAAATATTTTTTTTCTTGCCTTTTGTTAGTAGATATTCTATTCTGTTTTATTTCCTACATATTTTCTTAGTGTTAATTTTCGTAGATGGGTAAACCCATAGATAAAAGAAAATAATCTACTATTGGTAAACCGCTGAAAATTTTCTGACATACTAATGCCAAAAATACACCTTTGGTGTCAAATTTGTAGCGTTAATGGCAGTATATATCACAGAAATTCCAATGTAGTAAAAGGAAAACTACTAGTAATACCTAAAAATTTTACCAATGTCCTATCAAGTACCATGCCAACATCGTACATCAGAATAAGACAATGGTTTACTACTTGGTTTTGTATTCTCGTTGTATTTCTGATATCGCTATTAGTCACTTTCAAAAAACAACTCAGTAAAACCGCCAATAATCTAATAGCAAGTAGTTAAATTGCTCTTAAAGGAGAATAATTGGTTTTTCTGTAAGCATTTTAGAGTAAATATGTTTTTCTGAAAAAATAATTAATTTCTTATATCATAACCGTGAACAAAATGCAAGACCGCAAGAGTATTGCATGCTTGGTCTTGATCTTGCAGATCAAACGCTAGTCCTGGTCTTGATTTTTGTGTAAGACCAAGACAGTCTCGCGTATCACTAGGTCAGCCCTATTTGAACTACCAACTGATTTCACAGTAAGTAACTTAAAATTTGAAAATTAAATCAAAAGTAAAAACAAATTAATGAAAACAAGTTTCTAAAGCGTTGGATGCAGGTTTTGAAATGGACAATATAATAATAACCACTGTTTTGTGACACTAACATGAAAGTTATACATTATAAAAGTAAAAAAAAGTTTAAAAAATTTAAAAAGTAGGTACCTACTGAAATTTCTCTATGTGTAGGGTATTTCAAGTTCAGTATTCATTTCAAGAAGATATTTTTTGTACGTTTTAGCATGGACAATCTAAACTGGAACGTCACTTATTGGCCTATCGACCGTAAAAGTATTTCTTTCACCAAATAACATTTAAATCCAATTTAAAATCGGAATTTCCTCGATTCTTTCTTACGGCTGTAATGCTTATCGATATTGCGTCTAACTTTGGATGTTTTCCGTTTCCCGGAAACTCTTCCCTTTTGACGCAGAATTTTTATTGCCGGGGGATGCGTCTCTAAACGGCTATTTTCCAATTTCTGTAGTGCTGCGCATGATTTGTATTGAAAATTGCTTTGAGGTTCTCGGTAAAAAACGCACCGAGTCTACCGAAGTTGGAAATTGAAACGGGGCCTAACTTTATCGACTTCAAAATCAGAATGATTGATTCAATACATCTTGTTATACAGGGCGTTTCAAAAAACACGTGCCAAATCGCGTGGGGAGATGATTCTTCACTTAAAATAATTAACGATTTATTTTTTTATATAAACATAGGTCCGATTCTGCTTTGCTTTGTTTCGCAGTTATAGGGAGTTAAAATCTTAATTTTATTTTTGGGTATATTATAATTTTTTTCCAAGTGCTTTTAACGACCCGAAAGAAATTTTGAGAGTAACAGTTGAAATCGACAATATACCAAGATACAAGTTTTAGTTGGCATTAAACGGCCTACACAATTTTGTTAATACGAGTGGCTCACATGTTTTTTTTTTAATATTCAGGTAATAACCCATATGCACGTCTCTAGTGTATGAAAAAAATGGTGTATATGTCGTCACTTTTTTAGCATTCAGATATGTAGCGCTTATAATCACTTTTAACCTCAAAATTTCATTCGAATTATTAAAGCACTTGGAAGAAAAGAATAAATACAGGGTGGTCCTAACTGTAATCCGGAAACTTTGGCAACATATTCTGCAGATAAAAATAAGAAAAATAGTTTGTATGAGTGTAGGTCCTAAAATGCTTATTTTTGGAGATAAGGGTGTAGAAGTTTTATTTTTATTTCGATTATTTTCCAAATAATTTCTGAAGTAACGTCAATATTTGGATGAAAATTCGTATCTAGGAGTTTTTTTACATGAGAAATTAGATTTTGATGTCAATATGACTCCTACTTGTAGAGGGCGTGACCTACATATTTTTAACTGCGTTAAAGAGTAATAACTTTTCGTCCGTACCTGTAAAAAACTACTGAGTAAAAAAAGGCCTCTTGGTAAAAATCGCTACGAACAACCGTTCTCAAGATATTTAGAATGAAAATAATCAATATATGTCATTAATGACAAAAAAAAACAAGTTGAATAGATAGTTATTTGACTGAAATTATAAATTTAGGAACGTTTTACTTTTTTAAATTAATGACAAATTTTTCCTTGAAAATAAGATGGTAAAACAGTTTCTGTTGAACTTTTGGCACAAAAACATTTAAAATTTATGATTTCGGTCTAATAACTATTTAGCTAACATGTTTAATTTGTCAGTGATGACAGGTATTGATCATTTAGTTTCAAAATATCTGAAGAACCATTACTTGTAGGGATTTTTACCAATAGACCTTTTTTAGATAAAAATTGTCGCAAATGTATATTTTTTTACTCAGTAGTTTTATACAAGTACGGATGAAAAGTTATTAGTTTTAAAACCAGTTAAAAAATATGTACGCCGTCTACAAGCAGGAGTCATATTGATATCAATATCAAATTTCTCATGTCAAACAACTTCCAGATACCAATTTTCCTCCAAATATTGACTTTACTTCAGAAATTATTTGGAAAAAATCGAAATAAAAATGAAACTTCTACACCCAGTATCTCCGAAACTAAGCATTTTAGGACATAATTTATACGAACTTTTTCACTTATTTTTATCTGCAGAATTTGCTGCCGAAGTTTCCGGTATAAGTTCGGACCACCTTGTATAAAAATGAACATTTTAATCCCTTGTAACTACGAAAGAAAGATAGAAACAAAAACAGAAATAATGTAGTAAATAATAAATTTTTAAATATTCTAATAATAATAAACCAAAATTTACCGAGTGATATTATATAATATAAATATGAAGAAATGTATTCAAAAGTTTATTTAATTGGGAATAATTTTACTATATTAATACTTTTAAAAAAATATTACCACAGGTTTGTATTAACCATATTAAGCCCATACGAATTATAAATCTAAATATATCTCCTTAAATGTCAATGTAATAGCTTTGGAAAAAAGGTCTCCGTAAATGTTAGCGAATATCATGGTAGAAATGTGAACGACAGGATAAAAACAAAAATGGATGGGATCGATTTTAAATGAAATTTGAATGTTATTTGGAACAAACATTTTTAGCAGTCGCTGATAAATCACTGATTATTAAAAAAAATCGAAGGTATGACAGCCCGTTCTGCTTTTAGCATTCGTCAAAATTTTCATTAAGAAAGGGACAGGTTTTTTTCTTTTCTACGTTTATTTTATTCTTATTTTTCACCATGAAGTGAAACTTATTAAGTCTGATTCTTATTTTAATAATAATGGTACAGAGCTTTATATTACCATTACTTAAAATTTTACAGCAGTTTGCGAAAAAATTGAAAATAAGTATAATAATAATTAATATATTAGGTTTGCTTATACGTTTGTTACTCTTATACGTGCGTTTCAAATCCGCATTAATTTTGTTATAGTAACAGAACGGTCTATAGTCGACACATGCATACAAATTTGATGCCGGCAATCCCAGTGACCTTTCTAGAAGAATACGAATTTCTGTGTTGGAGCAAATTTATTATTTATGTATATTTTGTCAAGAAAACATGCTAAACAGTTGCATTTTTATCTATCATTGGAGTCAAGATTAATAACAAGTATTGATTGAAACTTTGTCATATATTATTTGATCATAGCTCAAATGATGTTTTTATTAATTCAGTATTTACAGTGTTTTAATATCTATATTATAACATTTCAGAGTGTATTATGGATTAGTTGAAATGCTGTGATTTCTTTTTTTAAGTGCAATTGTTTTTTAAGTTTTGAGTTGTAATACTTATTTTTTTATTTACAGGTATGGTCAATGGTCATATTCATTTATTGCGCAACTGAAAATCTTCAATTCTCGACTAAAGATTAAGGTATGGTAACTATAAATTAGAGAATTTGTTATATGGCAGTGCACACTCGCCAAGACTACCTGAGAGCAAACGAGTACGAGAGTGCACTTGGTGAGAACATTTTGGTGTGCTAGTAGTTGAAACGACTATAAAGGAAAGCTAAAAGGGTTGATATCATGGTTTGCTCGAGATGTCGCCCTAAGCAAGCAGATATTCAGAAACCGTCACAACTGGTCTTCGATGTTCGCGCACCTTGCGTTAAAGCAAGATACCATTTTTAAATCAAAGAATCAAGAAAAAAAGTTGAAACCAAAGTAATCAAATCTCATTTGCAGGAATAAAATCGTATTAGCAGACAAGAACAAAATGAAAACTAGTGACGAGAAAATACAAGACCAAGACCAAGACTCCCTTGGTATTGGTCTTGATTTTGCAGATAATAAATAGTTTTGATCTTGATCTTGCAGTATCTAGTCTTGGTATTGCTGTAAGTATCTTGCATGTATCTCTTAATGTAAATCAAACTTTAAAGAAAGAAAGTATTAGAATATGTGTCTGACGAAAAATTTTATTTTTCTATATGATATATATTGAGTCAGCATTTCTATCTTTAAAATTTTACATTAGTCTGATCTAGAAATAGATTATTAATCTATTGATTAAATATATTATTAATCTATTTCTATCAGAAAAACGAAATTATCGGGCAAATCCTACAGTAAGATTAACCATGAAAATATGACTACTTGTAGACACTTAGTGTTTCTGCTTTCCGGCTTCATCGATACGGGAAAAATCAGCAGCGATAAACTAGTGAACCTGAAAAAAGAAAAATGGAAACAAAGGAGGCTTGTGCCTTGCATTGGCCTCGTGGCTTGTTTGCTTCCCTTTTTCTTTTTTTTTACGTTTGTTGGTTGAGATTTAACAAAAAACTTTATTTATGGAATGTCCATTAGGTTATTTAAATAAAAACCATCAGACAAATAGAACCAACTAACTGAATGTGTAAATGAAATTGAGATTTGTAAACCAAATTTTGTAAAAAATGGCTTGCGCAAACCGGTTACGCACAAATTACTTTAAAGTCTAAACCGCCCTTTTATATTGATGGTTTCATAGCCCATAACAAGTAATATTTGAGCGTGGTCACATGACAATTTATTTTTCTTCAAGTTGTGCACGTCAATTAGACCAATGTGTACTACCAGTCATGACCTATGCACGCGAGACCTGGACTTAAAACGCACATTATAAGGAAACTGCAGGTCTCGCAACGCTCAATGCAACGAAATATGCTGGAAATAGCCAAGAAAGATCGCAAAAAATAGAGTGGATATGACAAACGACCCAGGTAATAGATGTCATCCACAGAATCAAATCCCTCAAGTGATAATGGACAGGACAACTATCAAGAAGGACGGACAACAGATGGACCACAAACATTACAGCATGGTACCCACGAAGAATAATTAAGAGACCTAGAGGAAGATCAAACCTGAGATGGAACCATGATATTAGGAAATTAGCAGGGATAACTTGGGCCCGCATAGCCAACAATAGACAACAATGGGCCCAACTACAAAGAGAGTATGTGAAGGAGGCTACACCATAATTGGAAATGGTTGAATAAGCTGAAAATGATGATGATGATGATGATGTTATATTTCTATATTTTCTATTTTATATATTTTCTAGTCTAAAATTTTAATTCATTTCGGAAAAACGAAATATACGCAAAAGAAAAACAGACGACTGGTTAGTTAGTGCCCTGGGCAGTAAACTCCTGTGGAACAGGCATATTAAGAACACTACCAGCAAAGCCATAAAGGCTCTCATGATATGCAGAAGACTGGCCGGAAATAGATGGGGCTGCTCACCTAACATTTTGCGCTGGATGTATACCATGATAGTAAGACCCATGATTACTTATGGAGCAGTTGCCTGGTACACAAAACTAGAGCAACGGACGGCAAGGCTAAACCTATGCAAAGTCCAGAGACTAGCATGTGTTTGCATCACAGGAGCCATGAGAACCTGTCCAACAGCAGCAATGGAGGTCATTCTAGATCTAACACCACTGCACATTGTCATTGGTAGATATGCCAATGCGACAATGATTAGAATGGTCACTAACGGAATTAGTACTGGGAGAATTGTCAGATCAGGGCTTGGAACACCCTCAAAAGGAAATACCACTTCTGCAACTGTGGACGATATGCCAAGAACGTACAACTTTGACAAACATGTCAATGTAGTATTGAGCAATAAGAAGGATTGAAGAGCGAAACGCTTGCCCAGCAGTTAAAAGACCATACCATAACTTGGTATACTGATGCTTCCAAAACCAATACGGGAACAGGGATCGGAGTGTTTGGACCGAGAGCTAAATACTCCGAACCAATGGGCACTTACCCTAGTATCCTACAGGCAGAAATCTACGCTATCGAAAGATGCGTACAACTTATCTTAGATAGCAACTATCGGAAACAAGAAACAGCCATCTTGTCTGATAGTCAAGCAGCGTTAAAAGCGATCAACTCAGTATCGATCAATTCGAAATTGGTCAAAGAATGCATAGAGAAGCTGAATAAATTAGGCAAAGAAAACAAAGTCCTCCTACTCTGGGTGCCTGCTCACCAAGGGATAGAAGGCAATGAAAAAGCAAATAATCTAGCTAGGAAAGGAGCTAACACTCCACTAACTGGACCAGAACCGTTCTGCTTTCCAAGTGGTAACCAACTCAAGGCGGAACTCAAGAACTTGGAAGATTCCATCCGCAACCTGGAATGGAAATCTTGCAATGGTCTAAGACACTCGAAGAAGTTTCTGAGGGCTTATGATCAAGAAAAATTACAGATCTTCCTGGGTCTGAGTAAGAACAATCTTCGGATTGTCACGGGGTTTTTAACAGGACACTGTCTCCTCAATGAACACCTCAGTAGATTGAAACTAAGAAGAAACGGCGAATGCAGATTCTGTGGGGAAGATGGTGAAACACCAGTACACCTCATCACTGAGTGCGCCGAGACGACAACCATTCGTGCCATGAATTTTGGTACGACTGATATTGGAGATGGAGAACTACCCTCTATAAAACCGTCCCAGATACTGGCTTTTGTCAAAGCCCTGGGACTGTATGATGAGTTAAGATTCAAGAAAGGGGGACACAATGGATCTGTAAGGTCGAAGTGATTAACCCCCCTCCCACTCATTCTAAATTCTAAATTCTAAAAATTCTAGTGCCAAAGACAAAGACAATCAGATAGTTGAATGTCACTGATGTGTCTTCAACAAAAATGAAGCAAATGAAGTTTATAAGATCTAAGCGTATATCAACCTGTTTCCTATAAAGTTAATATTATTCAAGATTGTGTTTTAGAATATAACCTTTAAGGATGACATTACTAGAAGATTATTCCAAAAACCATGAGGAAGAGCACGATACATACGAAGGGATACAGCCGAAATTAATTAAAGGAGTCCTTACAAACTCGTTCCTTTTTTATTTTCTCGTCGTACAGAAGCGGCTTTTTTGAAGTTTCCTTTTTATCCAGCCCATTGTTACGAAATAATTAGTAAGGTATTTGAGAGGAATTAATTATTCTGTGCCGGATGTTATTCAAGGTTTTAAAAAACTCTTTAAAAATGGATTTTGTCTTAAGGGAATTTTGCGAAAAATTATAATCCCGACAGCACAAGAAGAGATTATTTAATTGAAAAATACGGCACTGTTTTTACGGTGTCCGTTTAAATTGAATTCATATTTCATTAGGTGTTCTTCGGAACGAACAGCGTTTTAGTAATTGTGCAAATACTGTAATACTCTGCGCTTTATTGATTTATCTTTTAAATTGATATAAAATTGCATATGTTACAGTAAAAGTTGGAAAAAAAGTTAACAATTAATAGTAAAATCTCACATTCATTCTGATTTTCTAAGACTACGCCAGTAAAAGTTCAGCAGCTATTTTTGAAACCAACTTTTACTAGTGAATGCTAGCATTCCCTGGATGATAGTAGTGAGTTTGAAAAATTCAGTTAGCGCGGTTGCCACATGTTGTAATATATAAGGATAAATAAGGATAGGTAGAATAATAGGCAATATAGGGATACCATTAAATCGGGCTAAACGTTGCCAACGTTGAAAGACATCTGGCGTAAACGCGTAAATTCGCTTTGCTTTTTTTTTATGGTCACGTATTATTGTTTTGTTATCGTTGTAAAAAGTGTTGTACGGTATTTTCCATATGGAAGAAATTTTCTGTAAAAAATTAAGGTAAACTAGGCACTCGCAAGAATCTAATAGTGCTTGTTTTTCATTTTTGCAATATAATGAAGTCATCGCAAAAGTTAAGCGTGCAAGAGAAAAATATATTAAGGCACCTAGTGGCTATGAATTTATTTAACGTTTTGATATGCTTGAAGTAGCGGGTTTGAAAAAAACAAATAACTCCCGTTGGAGAAAATTCGGGCATACTTTATTTTGTCCACGATAAAGAACTTTATTAAAAAATCCTTGTACCAATAAGTAATGTTATGTTTATAAATGTTTTTTTTTTAATTGTTTTGTACGCTTTAAAATGTTTGCTATGTTTTCTCTTTTAATATTTAGAAGGTTAATATCTATAATAATAATAATTAATCTATAATTTCTATAATTTTTAATAAATATATCAAAGAAGTAAACTGTAGTTTTAATATTGAGGTGATCCAATATTCTCAAAGGTTTTATTTGTTTTAACTTCCGCCAACATTCTTCACCACACTCGCTCTGTACAATAGAGTAACTTTTACTGGCAACTTTTAGTAAATGTTACTTTCACTAGTGAATGTTAGAAATTACTAGGAAAAGTCGGCAAATCTCTTTTATTCACAGGTCCAATGCGTAACTGATTTTCCTTGTGAATGTTAACAATCACTGAGGTTTAAATTTAGTTTTAATCAGCTTATTGGAAACTTAAATTAAATATACCTATGACTTTGCCTTATTTAGAGATTAATGACAAAAATTTGATTAGTTG